GCATGCGGCCGTGGCAGCAGCAGCAGCAGCAGCAGCAGCAGCAGCAGCAGCAGAGGCAACTCCTAGCTGCTGCTGCGGCAGAAACTTGCGCTGCAGCAGCAACAGCAGCAGCAGCAGCAACAGCAGCAGCAGCAGCAGCTTACCTGCCCGATGCTAGCAGCAGCAAATGGATTCATATCGAACTCTAGAAAGTGCTGCCGCCAATCTCGGCCCAGTTCCCTTCTCAGCATCTGCAGCAGCAGCAGCAGCAGCAGCAGCAGCAGCAGTAGCAACAGCAGCAGCAGGCCCTGGAGGCACCAGACCCAACAGCTCTACCGGCCAGCCTTGCACTCTGCGGCAGCAGCTACCTTCTGCGTGCTGCAGCTGCTGCTGCTGCTGCTCTTCCTACTACTACTGCTGCTGCTGCTGCTGCTGCTGCTGCTGCTTCTGCTGCTGCACATATCGTACCTTCTCCGCCTCCCCCGGCGGCATCGCATCGGCTCCATCTCTGAGCAGCAGCAGCAGCAAACACTCCACAACAAAACTCCTATTGCAGCAGCAACAGCAGCAACAGCAGCAGCAGCAGCAGCAGCCTTCAAAAGTGGCAGACAATGTGAGACTACAACAGCAAGCAGCAGCAGCAGCTGAAGCTACTGCTGCTGTTCTTTCAGGTTGGTGCCTTTCTCGCCGTCAGCAGCAGCAGCAGCAGAGTGGAAAGTGCTGCTGCTGCTGCTGCTGCTGCTGCTGCTGCTGCTGCTGCTGCTGCTGCTGCTGCTGCTGATTCTGGGTGTATGTACAGCATAAAGACTCACCGCGAGCGCTGCAGCGCATCGATGAGAGGCGCCGGCAGCAAATCTCCAGCAGTGCTGCAAGCAGCAGCAGCAGCAGCAGCAGCAGCAGCAGCAGCAGCAGCAGCAGCAGAGAGTATGAGCACAGCCGCAGCAGCAGCAAGAGCAGCAGCAGCAGAAGAGGCCTCAAGGCCCACTCATGAACAGCAATGCAAGTACTAACTGGCTTCCAAGTAGGGGCTTAGGGTTTAGGGTTTAGGGTTTAGGGTTTAGGGTTTAGGGTTTACCTTAGCATCTGGAGGCACTTCAGCGCTGCTCCTCTCATTTGGCAAATTTTATTTGTTAGCAGCACCGCGGTGGTTTCATCCATCAACATCTCCTGCTGCTGCTGCTGCTGCTGCTGCTGCTGCTCTTGCGGTTGCTGCTGCTGCTGCTGCTGCTGCTGCTGCAGGGTGCTGAGGAGGCGCGCTGCTGCTGCGGCATCCGCAGAGAGCCCTGCGGTGAGGTCGCCAGCAGCAGCAGCAGCAGTTCTGCTGCTGCTGCTGCTGCTGCTGCTGCTGCTGCTGCGGTATCTAAACTTCTGCAGCAAAGCCCTCCAAGTCAACCTGCTGCTGAGCTGCAGCAGCAGCGAACCAAAGTGAAACACACGAGACAAGCGGCTCGTAGGCAAAGATGAAACCCTAAGTGGTTTTGCTGCTGCTGCTGCTGCTGCTGCTGTTGCTGCTGTTGCTGCTGCTCCTGGCGCTGCTTCTGGCGCCGGTGAAGCTGCTGCTGCAGTTGCTGCAAATACTTGCGGTGGCGGTGCTGCCGCTGCTGCTCCTGGATTGGCTGCTGCTGCTGCCAATGGCGCTGCTGCTGCTGCTGCTGCTGCTGCTGCCGTTGTCAAGGAGTCTCCGTTGTAAAGTCGTTGCAACGCAGCAACGCTATCGAAGTCAGCAGCAGCGCGTTTTGCTGCTGCTGCTGCTGCAGCAGCTGCTGCTGCTGCTTCCGCTGCTTGGAGGTCCAGGTGAGTCCATTCGTTGGGTCGGGTTGCTGCTGCTGCTACTGCTGCTGCTGCTGCATCAGCAATAGCTGCCCCAGCTTTTGCTGCTGCTGCAGCTGCCTCCTGCTGCACTGCGTAAACAAGTGCAGCAGATGAAGGCGCAGCGTAGGAAGCTGCTGCTCGAACAGCAGCAGCAGCAGCATTTGCCGCTGCTGCTGCTGCTGCCAAACGATCCCCAGAGCCAAGAGCTGCAGCAAATCTCCAGGTCGCCAACAGCAAGACTTCTGCGGGACTTTCGTTGCTGCTGCTGCTCTTGCTGCTGCTGCTGCTGCTGCTGCTGCTGCTGTTCGGGCTGCTGCTGCTGCCCGAACTGCTGGCGCTGCTGCTGCTGCTGCTGTTGCTGCTGCTGCTGCTGCCGTCTTTAGATGGCATATGGCGCCATTCCCCTGCTGCCGCTGCTGCTGCTGCTGCAGTGTACGTAGACCCTAGGCCTCTGAAGGCGGCGCAGCCTGCTGCTGCTTTTTCTGCTGCTGCTGCAGCAACTATTTCTGTCGTTGCTGCTGTGGAACGCAGCAGTTGTGAGAGCTGCTGCTGCTGCTGGCTTGCTGTGGCAGCAGCAGCTGCTGCTGCTGCAGCCGCAACTGGCGGGCTCCAGCAGAAAGTGTACAGACACCGCAGGCCCCAGGAAGCAGGAGCCCGCAGTCCTGCGGCTGCTGCAGCGCAGCAGCAGCTGCTGCTGCTGCTGCTGCAGGTGCTGCAGCAGCTGCGAGCCCTTGTGCAGAGCCCCCGTCGCTGCAGCAGCAGTGGCCCCGGCGGCGGCCGCCGCAGCCGCTGCTGCTGCTGCTGCTGCACCTGCTGCTGCCTTTGCTGCTGCTGCTGCTGCTGCTCCCCCTGCGGGGCCCCGCCGCGTGTGCAGCGCAGCAAACTCTGCAACAGCAATAAATGCAACAAAGTAGCCCTCGAGCCAGCCAAGCCAGAGGCGCCACAGCAGCTGCCAGATGCTGCTGCTGCTGCTGCTGCTGCTGCTGCTGCTGCTGCCCCAGGCCCCCGCCCGCTTAAGCACTGCCACATCCAGCTGCTGCTGCGCAGCAAATAAAGCTGCTGCTGCTCTCGCCTCGCCATTGTCGCTGCCGCTGCACTCGCTCCACAGCTCCACAGAAGACGACAGCCACTCGTCTTGCTGCTCCTGCTGCTGCTGCTGCTGCTGCTGCTGCTGCTGCTGCAGTGGGGGCTGCTGCTGCTGGGGCTGCGCGGGGTGCTGCTGCTGCTGCTGCTGCTGTGCCTTGGGCTGCTGCAGCTGCTGCAGCTGCTGCACACTGGGCTGCTGCGGCTCCAGGCACTGGCGCGGCTGCTGCTGGAAGAGAAAAGCCTCCTGCTGCTGCAGCAAATGCTGCTGCTGCTGCTGCTGCTGCTGCAGCACCGGGCGCAGCAGCAGTTGCTGCACCGCCTCAGACCCGATCCCTTGTTCCATAGCCCAGCGAGTGAGTCGGTACTGCTGCTGCTGCTGCTGCTCCTGCAGCCACCGCAGCTCTGCTGCTCGCTGCTGCTGCTGCAGCTGCGCCTGCTGCTGCAGCAGCAGCCGCTGCTGCTCCTGCTGACGACGCATGTGCTGCTGATAAACTTGCTGCAGCTGGTCCAGTTGCTGCTGAAGCTGCTGCAGCCGCTGCTGCTGCTGTCTGTGGCGCTCATTTGCAGCGACAGCTGGGTCGTGATGCTGCTGCTGTTGCTGCTGCTGCTGCTGCTGCTGCTGCCGCTGCTTACAGATAGGTACACTCCGCGCTTCCGGCTGCCGAGTAGCAGCTGCTGCCCGTTGCTGCTGCTGCTGCTGCTGCGTGCGCAGCAGCACGTTGCCGTGTGGCGGATAGTGTGCTGCCACATTTTGCTGCTGCTTCTGCTGCTGCTGCTGCCGCTGCTGCTGCTGCTGCTGCTGCTGCTGCTGCTGCTGCTGCTGCTTGCGCCTCAGGTCGGTCAGCAGCTCGGGGTTCCACCGGGTTACAGTGCGCCTGCTGTTGACGGTGCTGCTGCTGCTGCTGCTGCTGCTGCTGCTGCACCCGTTTCTGCTGCTGCTGCCGCCGCCAATCTCACGGTGGTTGCGGTCTAGTGTTGCTGCTACAGGTGTTGCTGGTGCTGCAGTTGCTGCTGCTGCTACTGCCGTTGTTGCTGCTGTTGCTGCTGCTGTTGCTGCTAGCGTTGTTCCTGCTGTTACTTGTGCCCTTGTTGCTGCTGTTGCTGCTGCTGCTGCTCCTACCGCTGCCTTTGCTGGAGCAGCAGCTGTTTCCTGCTGGCTGGAAAGTTTCTGTAAGCCGCAAGAACTGCTGCTGCTGCTGCTGCTGCTGCTGCTGCTGCTGCTACAGCTGCTGCTGCTGCCACTGGTGTTAAAAAGAGCGCCAAATGCGGTGGTCAGTGAGCTGTTGCTAGTTAGCAGCGGCGCTGCTGCTGCTGCTGCTGCTCCTGCTGCTAATGATGCTGCTGTTGCTGCTGCTGTGGTTGATGCTGCCGCTGTTGCTGTCGCTGCTGCTGCTGCGGAAGGCAATGACTGGGGCCGCTGCAGCCTGCGGCTGCTGCTCGCTGTGCTGCTTCTGCTGCTGTTGCCTCCGCTGCTGCTGCTGGTAAAGCTGCTGCTGCTGCAGCTGCTAATTGTTCTGCTGCTGCAGCTGCTAATTGTTCTGCCGCTGCTGCTGCTGCTGCTGTCACAGCTGCAGTTGCTGTTAGCGCGTCTGCTGCTGCTGCTGCTGCTAACCCGACCTAGTGTGCGGCTCGCAGCAGCCGCAGCCGGCCGGCCCATGCCGCTGGTGCTGCTGCTGCTGCTGCTGCTGCAGCGGCTAGCGCCACTGCTGCAGCAGTTGCTGCTAGAGGCTCCTGCTGCTGCTGCTGCTGCAACTGCTGCGCATTCCTGATGACTTCATGGGGCGGAAGTGCTCCCAGAGAGCACAGCAGCAGGTAAAGATGCTGCTGCTGCTGCTGCTGCTGTTGCTGCTGCTGTTGCTGCTGCTGTTGCTGCTGCTGCTGCAGGCTTCAAATACAGGACAGACCACGCTGCAGGGTAGGTACACCGCCACACTGCAGCAGCAGCCGCTGCTGCTGCGGCTGTGCCTTTCTACTGCGGCTGCTGCTGCTGCGGCTGTGCCTTTCTACTGCGGCTGCTGCTGCTGCTGCTGCTGCTGCTAGGGGCAGCAGCAGACAAGTTTTCCGGGGATCGGGTTGGCAAAAAGGGATCCCGATGTAGCTGCTCCAGCAGCAAGACCAGCCGCTGCTGCTGCTGCTGCAGCAACGGCAGCAGCAGCAAACGATGCAGACCCCAGTTCGTGTTGGCCCCAAACGCTGCTACAGCAGAAGGGGAAAAAGGATATGCGTAAACTGAGCAGCAGCAGCAGCCCCTACCCCAGGAGCAGCAGCAGCTGCAGCAGCTGCTGCTGCCATTGCTGCTGCATGCACGTGCTGCAGCGGCTGCTGCTGCCGCCCCACACTAATGGCGAGTCTTCTTTGTTTCTGCAGCAAAGCACAAATGTAAATCATTAGAATACTTTATTGCGCAGTTGTGGGGTGTATGTACACCAGAAGGAACACCCCCGAGCGGACAGCAGCAGCAGCTGCTGCAGCTGCTAGTTCTGCACTCGAGACTCTGCCAGCAGCAGCAGCTGCTGCTGCTGCCGCTGCTGCTGCTCACCGACACTGTGCTGCAGATTTACAGACAGATTAGACCTAGGAACGTTCTGTTTAGCTGCTGCAACAGCAGCAGACAGCGGAAGGACAGCACAGCTGTGCCAGCTGCAGCACAGCTGCAACAGCAGCAGCAGCAGCAAGGCTAGCAGCATGGGGTCCCGGCGGCAGGCGAGACCTGCTGCTGCTGCAGCAGCAGCAGCAGCAGAGCCAGGGTCTGAGGCTGGCGCCCTGCAGCAGCAGTCAAGAGGTGGAAGCACGTGTGCAATCGTTCGCGTGCTGCAGCAGCAGCTGCAGCAGCACACAGCAGCAGCAACTGCAGCAGCAGGAACGCAGCTAAGTGGCGTCTGGCGGCGGCAGCAGTCTGAGCTCTACAGCCGCGCCCACTCGGGGCGTATGTACACCCGGGAGCTGCCTGCGTTTGCAGACTCGTGGCTGCTATTTGCTTCAGGCGAGCAGCAGCAGCAGCAGCAGCAAGCAGCAGCAGCAGCAGCAGCAGCGGGCGGTGCTTCCAGGCGGCAGCAGCAGGAGGCCGCGCTCTTTCAGCAGCTCCTGCTGGCTCTGGAAGAGGAAGCATGCGACCTGGAGCAGCAGGCAGCAGCAGAACAGCAGCAGCAGCAGCAGCAGCAGCAGCAGCAGCCGCTGGGGCCAGAAGCCACAGCTAAGACGCTGCAGCAGCTGCGCAAGGGGCGGCTGCTGCAGCGGGGCCGCTTGTTTGCTGCTGCCGACGCAGACACGGAAATATATAGCAGCAGCAGCGACGAGGAATGCAGCAGCAGCAGCAACAGCAGCAGCAACCAGGGGGGTTGGCTGCTGCAGCAGCAGCAGCGGTTTGCTGCTCCGCTGCTGCCGCTGCGCGCTGCCTTTCGGCAGGCGCGGCGGCAGCAGCAGCAGCAGCTGCGGTCGCAGTTGCTGCTGCTGCAGTGGCTGAGGTCGCGGAGCCTCCATGCGCTGCAGCAGCAGCAGCTGCTGCTGTCGACGGACGGCATCGCTGCAGCAGCAGCAGCAAACGGAGCAGCAGCAGAGCAGCTGCAGCGCATGCAGCAGCAAAGAACTGAAGTTGTGGGGCCCCGCAGGGAGCTGCGGCTGTGGCAGGAAGCAGCGCGGTGTCTGTCCACCCCGTGCTGCAGCTTCGTGGAGCTGCTGCTGCAGAGCAGCAGCAGCAGCAGCAGCAAGTCGGCGGTGCAGCTGCTGCTGTCGAAGGACGAAAGGAAGGAGCTGCTGCAGCTGCTGCAGCAGCAGCAGCCCCTCAGCCCGCCCCCCTGCTTCCTGTCCCACGGCTCCGCTGCTCTCAGCTGCAGCAGCTGCTTCTTCTGGCTGCTGCTGCAGCAGCAGCAGCTGCAGCAGCTGCAGCAGGGAACCTGCGTTGCACGCAGCGGGGGCGTCCACAGCCATCTCGCTCGCTTCCTGCTGCTGCAGCAGCAGCTGCTGCTGCGGCTGCTGCAGGCTGACGCCGCCCTGGAGGAGTTTTCTCCTGCTGCTGCAGTGGCAGCTGAGGCAGCAGCAGAAGCAGCAGCAGCAGCTGCTGCTGCTGCTACTTCAGGGGCCGCTGTCAAGAACGCCGCAGATGGGCAAAGAGTATACATGGGTGGGTTGCTGCTGCTGCTGCCTGCTGCTGCTGCCTGCTGCTGCTGCCTGCTGCTGCTGCTGCTGCCCCTTTTGCTGCTGAAACGCCTGTTGCTTTTATACTGCTGCGGCTGCTGCTGCTGCTGCTGCAGGCAGCGTGGAGTGTATATACAGCTCCTTGTGGGGAGGGGGCTACAGCAGCAGCAACAGCGCGACAGAGCTGCTGCTGTGGCTGCAGCAGCTGCAGCACTTGCACCCGTTGCTGCTGCAGCAAACAGCAGCACCCCGCAGCAAGGAGAGACGCAGGAAGTGGCAGCAGCAGCAGCTGCTGCTGCACGGCAGCAACAGCAGCTTTGCTGCTGCACCTCTCTCCCGCGCAGCAGCAGGAGAAGCAGCAGCAAGCAAACCCGTATCGCAAGACACCTACAATGCGTCTCTCCTCGCAGGCAAACCCTAAACCCTAAACCCTAAACCCTAAACCCTATCTGAGCTTTGGGCCCGCATACCCCAAGAACGCCTCTGCTAAACCCTAAACCCTAAACCCTAAACCTTAAACCCTCAGTGCAGAGTTTACTCGCACACGAACAAGTGCCTAGCTGACTAGCCATTAGACTTAGGGTTTGGAGTTCAGGGTTTAGGGTTTAGGGTTTAGGGTTTAGGGTTTAGGGTTTAGGATTTTTAGTTTTTGTTGCGTGCGCGTGGTTGGCCAGATGGTGGACTGGAAATACAGCAGGACGGCGACAGCAGCGCATCTGAGACGGAAGCAGCAGCAGCAGCAGCAGCAGCAGCAGCAGCAGCGGATAGCTGCTGCTGCTGCCTGTGCACCGGCAGCAGCAGCAGCAGCAAGTTTGCTGCAGCAGATGCTGTTGCGGCGTACAAGGGCTTAGGGTTTACACACTTCAACGACTGCTGGCGCATGCAGCCCCGCAAGCGCCGCATGCGGGTGCTGCTAGGTCGGCAGCTGCTGCAGCAATTGCAGCAGCAGCAGCAGCAGCAGCAGCAGCAGCAGGGAAGGGGTAGCAGCAGCAGCGGTTGCAAGAGAGAGGAAGCCGACTTAGAAGAGGACAGCGAAGGTGGCGCAGAGCCCGCGGCTTCTGGTGCAGCAGCAGCAGCACCAGCAGCAACAGCAACAGCAGCAACAGCAACAGCAACAGCAGCAGCAGCAGCAAAAGCAGCAGCAGCAGAGGACTTGACAGTGGAGTACTCCAGCAGTGAAGATTCCTTCTGCGGATTTGCCCGCGATCAAAGTGCCTTTCGGTCAGCTTGCTGCTGTTGTTGCTGCTGCAGCTGCTGCTGCTGCTGCCGTTATTGCTGCTGCAGCTGCTGTCTTTACCGGTGCTGTTGCTGCTACTGCTGCTGGGCTTGCTGCTGTGGGCGTTTTACAGTTGCGCCGTTCCCCTTATACCCAAGTTGCTGCTGCTGCTGCTGCTGCTGCTGCTGCTGCTGCAGGCGCTTCCGAAGGAACTGGGTGTCTTCTGCTGCTTCTCGCTGGCAGCAGCTGCAGCAGCAGCAGCAGCAGCAGCGCGACTCGGCGCGGACCTGCACGAGGGGCGGAGACGCCCAGGGGCATGTGCTGACTGCTTATTTGCTGCGGCTGCAGAAGGCTGCTGCAGCGCGGCTGCAGCAGCAGCAGCAGCAGCAGCAGGGGCGGCACAGCAGCAGCGAGTTGCTGCAGCAGCTGCGTCGCCGCCCCAGCGCTGCGGTGTATGCGCAGCTTGCACGCCGCTCCCGTGTCTCTCTGCTGCGGCACCGGGCTCTGCAGCAGCAGCAGCAGCAGCAGCAGCAGCAGCAAAAGCACAGCCGCAAGCGCAGCAGGGAGGCCGAGGGGGGATCGGGATCGTGTCTTCTAGACTTAGAAGGCCAAGAGACGATCCCGCTGCTGCAGCGCAGCAGCAGCAGCAAACGAAAGGAGACGCAGCTAGCAGCAGACAGCAGCAGGAAGGTGCTGCTGCGTCTCCACCGCAAACCCCGCGTGCGCTCTTTCGAGCCCAGCTGGGCCCTGAGCAGCAGCAGCAGCAGCAGCAGCAGCAGCAGCAGCAGCAGCAGCAGCAGCAAGCAGCAGCAGCACTTCGGGGTTGCAGCAGCAGGAAACTGGCTGGGCCGAGAGGTTCTTTTTGCTGCTGTAGACGAAGCAAAAGTTGCAGAAGAAATGCCGCATGCAAAAAAGTTTCAAGAAACACTTGGGGGAATGGTCCAGACTCTGGGGAACAGGTGCCTGCTGCTGCTGCTGCTGCTGCTGCTGCTGCTGCTGCTGCTGCTGCTGCTTCTGCGGTTGTAGCTGCTGTTGTTGCTGCTGCGGCTGTTGCTTCTGCAGATTCTGGTGCTGTTGTCTCTGCTGCTGCTGCTGCTGCTGTCGGTTGTGCTGCTAAGGAAGGGGCCTATGCCCTATAGTACTGCTGCTGCTGCTGCTGCTGCTGCTGGTTAGTTTGTTGCTGCTGCTGGCCTTTTGCTGCATGAAAACTTGTTTTGCTGCTGACGAGGCGACTCCCACGTACAATTTCTCAGCGCAAACTCAAAACAGGGTTTAGGGTTTAGGGTTTAGGGTTTAGGGTTTAGGGTTTAGGGTTTGTGCGTAGGCGGGAATACTGCGTTGTTATCGACGATAAGACAGGCAGCATTTCTATTTATCCCTGCAGCCGCCTTTCTTTCTTTTTGCAGGAAACCCCCGAGCAGCGGGCCAAAGACTTTGTAAGGGTTTAGGGTTTAGGGTTTAGGGTTTAGCGTTTAGGGTTTAGGGTTCAGGGTCGGGGCTTTAGGATTTACGGTTCAGGTGCAGCTCTGTCTTACAATACCTTCCATTTAGGGTTTAGGGTTTAGGGTTCAGGGTTCGAGGTCAGGCGCTTCCACTGGGAGGCCCAGGGTTAGGGTTTAGGGTTTAGGGTTTAGGGTTTAGGGTTTGTGGTGTTCAGTATGCGCTGCAACGGGAAGAAATGCAGCGGGGCTTTGACGGGCTTCGGGTGTCTCTACACTGCCGCTCTTTGTCTCTCCGTTCTTTGTTGGAAGTTGGCTGCCACTTAGGTCCTCAAGAGCTCAAGTATACGAACCAAGTGAGGGTTTAGGGTTTAGGGTTTAGGGTTTAGGGTTTAGGGTTTGGGGTTTAGGGTTTAGGGTTTAGGGTTTGAGGTTTAGGGTTTAGGGTTTGGGGTGGGGGGTTTCTGCGTCGGTCTGCGGGCGCGGGGCGAGGGTTTGGAGCTCGGGGTCTGGTGCAGGGCTCTAGCTCAGCTGTGCTGCTGCTGCTGCTGCTGCTGCTGCTGCTGCTGCTGCAGGCGCGTCTGCAGCTGCAGCAAACGGGGTCTTGGGTTGCTGCTGCTTTTGCTGCTCGCGCTGTGCCGGTGACTGAGGGGCAAATTGAGGTGTCTAGACACCTGGCGCGGTCTGCTGCTAAACCCATTAGGAGCCGCAGCGAGTTTGAGAGTTTCTTCACAAAAGCAGCAAGCAGCAGCACTGCTGCTGCTGCTGCTGCTGTTGCTGCTGCTGCTGCTGCTCACGGCATCCCGGCAGCGCTGCTGCGCAAGGCGCACGCTGCAGCAATAGCTGCAGAAGCTGCTGTCATTTCCCTTCAAGAAGGAATCTGCAGCAAAGAGATGTGAGCAAACTCGCCGAGGGTTTAGGGTTTAGGGTTTAGGGTTTAGGGTTTGGATGTTTCACTCTGTTACTGGTCATCCGGTCAGACAGCTCCACGTGCACTGGAAAGCAACAGCATTTAGCGCTTAGGGTTTAGGGTTTAGCGTTTAGGGTTTAGGGTTTAGGGTTTGGGGTTTTTGTGTGCAGCTTCGAGACAGAGATTTTACCTGAGATCCTTCGCAGCTACTATCTCAAGTCCCACCCTCTTCTGTCGTAAGCCCTAAACCCTAAACCCTAGTTCTCAGGCCCAAACCCTAAACCCTAAACCCTAGCCGCCAAACCCTAGCCCCTACTCCTGAAGCCATAAACACTCAATTTGCTCATGAGCAGCAAAAGGAGGTCCTGCGTACTGCCGAGCTGTGTTTGCCGCAGTCTTCTAGGGTTTAGGGTTTAGGGTTTAGGGTTTAGGGTTTGGGGCTTGTTTGTCTCAGGAGCTGCTACATAACAGCCCGCAGTGCCTATGCTGCTCTGCAGCAAGACGAGCAAACCGCAAGAAACAAATCGCGTGTGATCACGGGAGGGGTAAACCCTAAACCCTAAACCCTAAACCCTAAACCCTAGAGAGGCGCTCCAGGCTGCAAAGCCGCGAGCGCTTCTTTTGTTTATTTTAGGGTTTGGAGCCATCGCTTAAGATGCTTCTCGCATCTGCAGCTCGTCGGTGGTTTAGAGTCTAGCGTTCAGGGTTTAGGGTTTAGGGTTTAGGGTTTAGGGTTTAGGGTTTGCGATCAGAGCGTCCGGGATCCAAGCGCGGGCTTGTCTTCGACTGCATTGCTGAAGCAGTTTAGCGAGTGCAAGGACGCTGCAGCTGCGAGCGGCCCGGCAGCAGCAGCAGCAGCAGCAGCAGGCATTGGTGCAGCAGCAGCAGCAGCGCCGCAGCAAATGCTGCAGCAAATGCTGCCTCGATTTAACCCCAAAGCCACTTGTGTTGAAGAACTTTTTTGTCTTGACGATTTGGTGCCGCTGCAGCTGCTGCAGGACGGCTCGGCGCAGACGGGCACTGCTGCTGCTCCGGTGCTGCTGCTGCTGCAGCAGCAGCAGCTGGACCCGCAGCAGCAGCAGCAGCAGCAGCGGCAGCTGGCCCACTGGGGCGAGTTCATTGCTGCTGCTGCTAAGCATGCTGCGCTGCAGAAGCAAATTGGTGCTGGCAGCCACCTCAGCAAACAGCTCACGCTGCAGCAGCTAGCCAGACTTTTGAAGATTCTGAAGTTCCTTTGTCTTCTTCTCAAGAAGCAAAGACGCTCCTTCTCCAGCCAACAAGACGTGAGGGTTTAGGGTTTAGGGTTTAGGGTTTAGGGTTTAGGGTTTAGGGTTTGGGGTTTGCGGGGCTGCGGTTTTCGCCACCGCGGGCGGCCGCAGCAGCGCTGCTTCGAGCCCAGGAAGCTGTGGGCCCAGGGTTTGGGGATTAGGGTTTAGGGTTTAGGGTTTAGGGTTTAGGGTTTAGGGTTTGTGCTGCAGCTGGCGAGGCAGCTGCGGGTGGGGCCGGAGCCCCCTGGCCACGCAGTGGCTGCGTGGCTGCAGACGGAGTTTTTGAAAAAGGGTTTTGACGAGAAGTACAGCATGCCCAAGGAGTACCAAACCAAGTACTGCTAGGGTTTAGGGTTTAGGGTTTAGGGTTTAGGGTTTAGGGTTTAGGGTTTAGGGTTTAGGGTTTGCGGGGGTTTGGTGTTTAGGGTTTGTGAGGGTTTAAGGCTTGCTAGGGCTTAGGATTTAGAGTGTGTGAGAGTTTAGGGTTTGCCAGGGTCTAGGGTTTACGAGGGTTTAGAGTTTCCTAGGGTTTAGGGTTTGCTAGGGTTTATGGGCACCGAGACTGCAGGAGGTTTACACCCTTCAGTGGGTACGAGGGGAAGCCAGGGCACAAAGCATGGACAAAGGGCTTAGGGTTTAGGGTTTAGGGTTTAGGGTTTAGGGTTAAGGGTTTAGGGTTTAGGGTTTGGCGAGGGCGTTTAGGGTGCTGATGACGATCGCTTGGGTTTGCTGCGCGTTGTCTGCGGACTTCAAATTTGACTTCACGACTCTTTTGGAGGTGGAGTTCAACAACGAGAGAACCGCAAAGTAAACCCTAAACCCTAATTTAGGGTTTGAGAGTCACCAAAGCTTGGCAGTGGCTGACTGGGGGAATTAACCCTAGTTTAGGGTTTGCCAGCTCCTCAGCATAATAAAGCCTTCGCGCAACCCCCTGCAGCTTGCTGCTGCTTCACCGGACAGCTCGAAGCAGCAGCAGCAGCAGCATCAGCAGCAGCAGCAGCAGCATCAGCAGCAGCAGCATCAGCAGCAGCAGCAGCAGTGTTGTCGTTTGTGTGCAGCTTCGCGGCGTGTGCTTCTCTCATTGGTATGAAACCCTCACGCACCAACGAAGTAAGTTCACTCAGATATGGGTTTGGAGTGAGGGTTTAGGGTTTAGGGTTTAGGGTTTAGGGTTTCTTTGGAGTTGACGTCTCTAGAAGGCCGCACTGGCCGGGGCCGTTTATTGTTAAGGGTTGTCGAGGGTCTAGGGTTTGTGTAGGGTTTAGGGTTCGGTTATAAGAAAGGGTTTGCCTACTAGGGTTTAGGGTTTGTTCTCCAGAGTTCATCCGAGGGTTTAGGGTTTGCTCCCTAGGGTTTAATGCCTATTTGGGCCTAGGGTTTGCTTTCCCAGGGTTTAGGGTTTGCTTTCTAGGGTTTAGTGTCTACTTGGGTCTAGGGTTTGCTTTCTGAGGGTTTGGGGTTTGCTGTCCAGAGTGTACTGCCTTCCCCCCAGGGTTTATCTCCAGTGTTCCCCAGGGTCCCGGGTCTCGTTCTAGGGTTTAGGGTTTAGGGTTTAGGGTTTAGGGTTTGTGGTTTGCAGATGGAATACCAGCTGTCGTTTCCTTCGCCTTTAGTGCAGCTGGAAAGTGCTTCGGACCTTTCAATGTCTCTACAGTCCGTTTTCGAGGAGAAGAGAAAGCGGCGGCGCTAAACCCTAAACCCTGCACGCTAAACCCTCGCTAAACCCTAAACCCTAAACCCTCTAAACCCTAAACCCTCGACTTCGGGTCCAAACCCTCGCTGTTTGGCGAGCAGCCGCAAACTTAAGTTGGGCGCTGCGGTGTACGTACACCCCGTGCACCCTCGACACCCAAACCCTAAAAAGGAGTTTCTTTTCTTTTTATTCAAACCCTAAAAGACAATATCTTGTCTTTCGTTCAAACCCTAAACAACAACTTCCTTTCTGTTTATTTATTTTAAAAATGCTTTTCGACTTTTTGTCTAAACCGCTGCCGCGGGGTGTATAGGCAGCTGCTCCGGCGTCGCTGCTGCGGTGTATAGGCAGCTTTCGGGTGTATATGCAGCTTTCGGGTGTACAGGCAGCTGTGGGGTGTACAGGCAGCTGTGGGGTGTATAGGCAGCTCTCGGGTGTATCGGCAGCTGCTGCGGGGTTGCTGCTGCGGTGTACAGGCAGCTGTGGGGTGTACAGGCAGCTGCTGCTGTGAGGTGTATAGGCAGCTGTGGGGTGTACAGGCAGCTGTGGGGTGTACAGACAGCTGGGGTGTACAGACAGCTGCAGCAAGAGTCAGCTCTCAGGGTGAATTCCATGAGCAGCAAGTTGCTGCTTCAGTTTTTCATTCTTTTCAGTTAGTCTTTCTGTTTCTTCTTTGTACTTATTTGCTGCTGCTGCTGTCTCCTGCAGCAGCGAGTCCATCTCAGCCAGAGCCTCAGCGGCTTCCGCTAGCCTGCGCGCTCCAAACCCTAAACCCTAAACCCTAAACCCTTCGAAGCAGACAGCTTGCAGGGGCCTCACTCTGCAAGGCCGCCAGCAGCAGCAACGGCTGCAGTGCCGTCGCAGCAGCAGCAGCAGCAGCAGCACTAGACAGAACAGCAACAGCAGCGGCAGCAGCAGCAGCGAAAGCGGCAGCAGCAGCAGCACGAGCAGCAGCAGCAGCGATAGCAGCAGCAGCAAGAAACTGACTGCGAATTCTGCAGGTCTTCTTTTTGCTGCTCTTCCAGCTCATTTACTTTCCGCCTGCAAGCCGAAAACCCTAAACCCTAAACCCTAAACCCTAAACCCTAAACCCTAGTTTCAACCCTCCCCTGACTGGCCCCTTGCGAACTTGCTCTCTTCTAAACCCTCAGCAGTCGTCCGCAGGTGAAAACCCACTCCCTGGCTTTACAGCCTAGGGTCTAGGGTTTAGGGTTTAGGGTTTAGGGTTTACTTGAGAGCCTCCACAGTGGACGCCAAGGCCAAACACTCGCTTTCAAATAATTCTTTTTCTTGTCTTGCTGCTTTCAATTCGCTTTGCAAAACCAGCAGCTGCTGCTCCCTCTCGCGCGCTGCAGAACACAAACCCTAAACCCTAAACCCTAAACCCTAAACCCTAAACCCTAGGCTTCAAGAAAAACCCCACCGTCGCCGTAAGCTGCTGCTGCTCGCGAGTTTGGCATTTGCCGTTCCACTTCAGTCCTACCAGCGCCCCCAGAGACTTTCTGCTGAACTAGGGTTTAGGGTTTAGGGTTTAGGGTTTAGGGTTTAGGGTTTGGTACCTCCAGCAGCAAGCTGAAATGCCTCCGCTCGATATCTCGAAAGGCCTCGAGGCCCTAAGAAGCTGAGTTGCTGCTCCGGCGCTTCCTGCACAGCCAAACCCTAAACCCTAAACCCTAAACCCTAAACCCTAGGCACTGGACCTAAACTGTAAACCCTAAACCCTAGCTACAAACCCCCGGATTCGGCCCGTGGCTGGGGTTGGGTCCGTTCTTACCGACTGCGTTGACGCTGCTGCAGTTGGGGGCTCCTGCTGCTGCTTTTGCTGCTGCTGCTGCTGCACTTGCTGCTGCTGCTGCTGCTGCTCTTGGCGCTGCCGCGCCCGGTCAAGCTCTTCCTTGAGCTCTTGCTGCAGGCGTTCCTTCTCTTGCTGCAGCAGCAGCAGCTGCTGCTGCTGCTGCTCGGCTTCCTGCTGCAGTTCCGCCCGCTGCTGCTGCAGCTTCTCAACCTGGGCAAAGCACCCAGTCCTAAACCCTAAACCCTAAACCCCAAACCCTAAACCCTAAACCCTATCCAGTGAAGCAGTAAGAGGCAAAGATGGCAGTAGGCGCCTGCCAGGTCAAGGCTGAAGGGAGTCAACCTCACGGCCTAGGGTTTAGGGTTAAGGGTTTAGGGTTTAGGTTTTAGGGTTTAGGGTTTAGGGTTTGAGACTTGAGTACTCGCATTGCCTGAGTGGCCCTTTGCTCTTCGGCGGCAGCAGCTTCGTCCTGTTGGAAAATCAAGAAGCCGCACCAAACCCCAAACCCTAAACCCTAAACCCTAAACCCTGAGCCCTAAACCCTAAACCCTGACCGCAAACCCTAGGACAGACCTGGGCTGCGAAGAGCTGCTTCCGCAGCGAATTCACTTCTGCTGCATGTTGCTGCTGCAGCTGTGTTAGCTGCTGCTGCTGCTGCTGCTGCTGCTGCTCCCACGAGCTCCGCTGCTGCTGCAGTATTCGGGCTAGCTCTTCGCGCTCCTGCTGCTGCTGCTGCAGCTGCTGCTGCAGCAAATGCTGCTGCTGCCGTGCTGCTGCTGCGTCTTTCTCTGCTGCGGCTATTTTATCAAGTGAGGGTTTTGAAGCGCCAGTGAGCATCGCCTGCGCACCTCAAAACCCTAAACCCTAAACCCTAATCCCAAACCCCAAACCCTAAACCCTAATCTCCAAACCCTACATTAAAAGAAGCAGTACAAGTGTTTGTACAATATATATATATATATTGTATAAACCACAATTTAGGGTTTGGAGCAATAACAAAGAAGAGAAGCAGATGCCCACATGCAATTCATCATTCTCGGACTGCAGCTGCTGCAGCTGCTGCTGCTGCTGCTGCTGCTGCTCAAAGTGCTGCTTCTCCAGCCGCGCAGACATGGCCTTCGCGTCCTGAAAGAAATCCATAGACCCTAAACCCTAAACCCTAAACCCTAAACCCTAAACCCTAAACCCTAAACCCTAAACCCTAAACCCACCCTAAACCCTAAACCCTAAACCCTAAACCCTAAACCCTAAACCCTAAACCCTAAACCCTAAATACAAACCCTAAACCCTAAACCCTAAACCCTAAACCCTAAACCCTAAACCCTAAACCCTAAACCCTAAACCCCTAAACCCTAAACCCTAAACCCTAAACCCTAAACCCTAAACCCTAAACCCTAAACCCTAAACCCTAAAACAAAACCCTAAACCCTAAACCCTAAACCCTAAACCCTAAACCCTAAACCCTAAACCCTAAACCCTAAACCGCAAACCCTAAACCCTAAACCCTAAACCCTAAACCCTAAACCCTAAACCCTAAACCCTAAGCTGACCACTGCATCGAAGAAATAAACCCGAGCCCTCATAGGTCGCGGTGGCCGGCGGATCTGCTCACTGCAGCCCTCAAAGCCTAAACCTCAAACCCTAAACCCTAAACCCTAAACCCTAAACCCTAAACCCTTACATTAAGCTGGTGGGTCAGCTGACTGTTGATGGCCTTGAGACGCTCCACTGTTTCTGTTTGCTTTGCTGCTGCAGACAACTCCAGTTTCCTGCAGCAACAGCAGCAGCAGCAGCTGCAGCAACTGAAACAGCACTTGGTGCAGCAGCAGAACGTGCGGCAGCGGCACCTGGAGTAGCAGCAGCAGCAGCCGCAGCAGCACACAGTATTTGCTGTTGCGCAGCAGCAGCAGCAGCAGTTCCTCACTCTTTCTCAGCTCTTGCTGCTGCTGCTTCTGCTGCAGCACTCGAACGGCTGGCCTCCGCCTCAGCAGCAGCAGCAGTGAGTCGCTGCACCTGCAGCAGCAACGGCACCGCAACAGCAGCAGCAGCAGCAGCAGCAGCACTGGTCAAACCTGGCGCCGCTGCAGTAGCAGCAGCAGGCGGCAGCAGCAGCAAGTAGCTGGTTTGCAGCTGCAGACGGCTACACGCCTCGCTCTTCCTGCGAATAATTTAGGGTTTAGGGTTTAGGGCTTAGCGATTAGGGTTTAGGGTTTAGGGTTTAGGGTTTAGAAATACTTTGGCCTCCAGCTGCGCCACAACTTTGTTTTGTGCTGCTGCATCTGCAGAGAGCTGCTCATGGGCCGCCTTGAGCGACTTGTAGCCCTGAGACACCAAACCCTAAACCCTAAACCCTAAACCCTAAACCCTAAACCCTAAACCCTAAACCCTAGGCCCTGCACTTTAAGCTGCTTCAGTACAGGCTCAGGGCGCAGCAAAATGAAAAGCACAGTCTGTACTCAGCAGCAATGCAGCAGCAGCGGCTGCTGCTGCTGCTGCATCAGCACTGCAGGCAGCAACAACAGCCAGCATCATTGGCTGCTGCTGCTGCAGCAGCAGCAGCAGCAGCAGCAGCAACACTTACATCGCACTGAGCCCGCAGCCTTTTAATTGTTGTGTCTGCTGCTCCCAGTCGATTGGCTAGGGCGTGCCCTTCCTGCTGCAGCTCCGCGTACTCCTGCTGCAGCAGGTGCTGCTGCTGCTCCTGCTGCTGCAGCTTCTGCTGCTGCTCCCGCAGCGACGCGTTCAGCAGCTCGATTGTCCGCAGCAAGTCCTGCTCGTGGTGCTGCTGCTGCTGCAGCTGCAGCAGACATCAAAGCAGAAGCTGCTGGAGCAGACGCGCGTGCTGCAGCAGCTGCGGCCTTGCTGCTGCTGCAGTTGCTGCTGCTGCTGCACAAAGTGCAGCGGCAGCAGCACCGAACGGTTGCAGCAGCATGGCAGCAGAAGCAAGAACACAACTGCCAGGCTGCTGCTGCGGGTGCTGCTGCTGCTGCAGATGCTGCTGCTGCTGCAATTGCTGCTGCTGCTTTTGCTGCTGCTTCGCCGCTTCCTGCGTTTCTCTTCATCTTGGCTTTTCAGATCTAGGGTCTACTCTCGAAGATTCACGGACTAGGGATTAGGGTTTAGGGTTTAGGGTTTGCGGCTGAGGGTTTGGCTTGCCTGCTGACGCAGCTGCTGCAGCTCCTCGTCGGGGCTTCGCTGCGGGTCTAAGAGAACTGAAAGCTGTTCGGACTTGTGCTGCAGCTGCTGCTCCCGCTGCTGCAGCAGCGTTTGCTGCTGCTGCAGTTGCTGCTGCTGCGACTTCAGCAGCTCCTGCTGCTGCACCAGCTGCGCCTCCTGCTGCTGCAGCTGCTGCTGCTGTTGCTGCAGCTGCTGCAGCATCCGAGCCTCCTTGTCCTGCTGCCCCACTACCCCGTGCATCGGCGCCTGCGGACTAGCATCTGCTGCTGCTGCTGCTGCTGCTGCTTTCTCTGCTGCTGCTGCTTTCTCTGCTGCTGCTTCTGCTGCTGCTGCTTCTGCTGCTGCTGCTTCTGCTGCTGCTGCAGGAACAGGCGTCGGCGGGGGTGGGGGGTGCACAAGGGGAGGCACAGCATCTGCTGGCTTCTGCTGAAGTGTAGCAGCCTTCTCTGGCTCCGTCTGCTGCTGCTGCTGCTGCTGCTGCTGCTGCTCTTGCTGCTGCTCCTGCTGCTGCCTCTGCTGCTGCCTTTGCTGCTGCTCCTGCTGCTGTTCCTGCTGCTCAACCAGAAGCGAAGACTCTGCTTCTCCTGTGTCCTGCGCGCCGTGCTGCTGCTTAGGCAAAGTTTCCTCTTGCTGCTGCTGCTGCTGCTGCTGCTGCAATGAATTCAGACCCTCTGCAGCAACAGGGGTGGTAGACACCGCTTCTACTGTTCCTGCTGCTGCTGCTGCTGCTGCTGCTGCTGATGGTCCCTTAATTTGGCCTTCTACTGGCTCTTGCATTTCTCTGCGGTCAGCGGTTGTTGCTTCACTGGTTGCATGTGTGGGCGCTGCTGCTGCTGCTGCTGCTGCTGCTGCTGCTGCTGGCGCTGCTGCTGCTGGCTCTGCTGCAGCTGAGGTGTCCTGTGGTTTTTCGGCTGCTGTGGGAATGTCGGCCGTTGGCTCTGCTGCAGCAGCAGCAGCAGCAGGTGCTGCTGCTGCTGCTGTTGCTTCTGCTGCTGCTGCAGATGGCGGCAGAGGTAGTGGGCTTCCCCACAGATCTTCTGCTGCTGCTTCTGCTGCTGCAGGTGAAGCTGCAGCTGCTGCTGTCTCCTCCCACAAATTAGATCCTGCTGCTGCTGCTGCCGATGGCGTCTCTGCTGCTGCTGCTGCTGCTGCTGCTGCTGTTGCTGCTGCTTTTGCTGCCGCCTCTACAGTGGGAAGCTGCTGCACCTTCAAGTCCGCTTCCAGCCCCTGCGTCCCCAACCCATCACAACTTGCTGCTGCTGCTGTTTCTCTTGCTGCTGCTGCTGCTGCTGCTGCTGCTTCTGCTGCCTCAGCTGATGCTGATGTTGCTTCTGCTGCTTCTGCCGCTGCTGCTGCTCTTCCTTTCGCCAGTGCTGGCTCCAGCTGCAAAGGCTGCTCTGCTGCAGCAGCAGCTCCAGCAGCACGAAGGTCTTCACCCCAGTCATCGAAAGGTAAGAGGTCCTCTAATTCCTGCTGCTGCTGCTGCTGCTG